AGATGGAGCTTAATTCCCCTAGCCTTGGGGGTGACTTTTTATGAATGGAATATGGCAGAAATGATGGTGTGTGACTCTAAGGCTCCATTACAAAAGACACTGTGGCTTCCTCCTTACTTTCTCTTGCATCACCTGGTCTGGGGTCACCAGCTGTCGTGATGGGGCAACACTCAAAGCAGCCCTATGGATGGTTCGACATGGTGAATGACTAGGGCCTCTTGCCAACAGCCATCAAAAACTAAGGCTTTTTGCCAAGAGTTATATGAGTGAGCCATCCTGAAGAGGATCTAGCAGGCCCAGGCCTTCAGATGTGGGTTGATACCTGAACTGTCAACTCAGGAGGGATCCTGAGCCACAACTACTTCACTAAGGTGCTCCCAAATTTCTCACTCCCAGAAACAGGAAGATGATACATGCTTGCTGTCTGAAGTTGCTAGGTTTGGGGGTAGTTTATTACATGATAAGAGATAACAAATACAATTACTAAGTCACCAGTTCTTACAACAAAGCCCGGCATACAGGAAGATCCCAGCAAATGTTTGCTGAATGACTAAGCAAATAAATTATTAAACACCCACAACTTATATTCATATAACATTTTCAAGTTTGCAAACTAGAGTTGCCCAAATAAATCTTTTCACTTGATCTTCACAACCTTATATAAATGCATAACCTTATATCATACATATCAGGCAGAGAAATAATCTTCCCCAGTTTGCAAATGAAAGTCATACTCCGAGCAGTTAAGTAGTTGCTTTCAAGGCCCCACAGATGGTAAACAGAGAACTCAACTCAGGACTTTTGATTCCTAATCTTCCACCACAGGGCTCCACAATCTTAGGAAACGTCAACCATAAAAGATGACCTCATGTCACAAAATATTAAATCAGTACTGGTATTTATTATAATATAATAATATAAAAACACTGATGGAACACTATATGCACATCCTCCACCATTCTACCATAGAGTCAACACATGATTTTTAAACAAAATGTTATCATGTAATTGATAACCATATTAAAACAAACCAGAAGGGGTGAGCCAGAATGAAGGAGAGGAACAGGAAAAAAGAGTATCCTGGAAAATTGTGTTTTCCATGGTTTTACTTCCCACAATTCTGAGGTCAGGAAAGCAGCAGTTCACTCCCCTGCAGAGTGTCCTGAAAGCCCTTGGAGCCAAGCCTGTCCCAAAACTAACGCAGATGATAAGGGTAGGTGGTGAGGGGGAAGGGGGAGAGGAAAAGGCAGGAGAGAAAGAAATGGTAGCCAGAGGCTAGTATCTACCATTATATTGCCATACAATCCACTAGCTACAGAATCATTCTATTAGCGGAACTTTTCATGATACAGATTTCCCTGGGGTAGGTTAAGTTTCACTTACAGACTGAGAGTTTTGACCCAAGAGATCATGTTCAGGAATTTTAGGAAAAGATGGGGCTGAATCTATTGGCTTACTAATAAAGCCAGGAGACAGGCAGCATGTGATTATACAACTTGGGAGCACAGACTGAGAAACTGATGCAGAAATGACTAGAGAAGTTCAAAAGACAAAGCGTCCCTCCCAGCAATCTAATGCTCAGTGGACAGTGGCCACGCCCCAAGGAGAGAGACTGGTAGAGGCAGCAGGCTCCAGAGGTGGAGACCAGGCTCTGGAGTCAGAAGCCAGCCTTCACCTCAGCTATGACTTGGGCCTTGTGGATCGTTTTGATGATGCAAGTGAAGCGCATACCTGTGTCTTATGTACCTTAATCCCTACAACCCTTTATAACATCCTTTTCAAGTGTGCTGCTTTCTTCCACAAAGTAGGTTGTGTTTTAACACTTTAACACCTCACTTTTACAACCTCATTAGAAGGGATGTCTTCATTGCCCTTCAAGATGCCTGAAGGCAGAGGCTATGCACCCAGTCCCAGCACTGAGCAGATACTTTCAGAAACTTCATGGAATGCTGGCTAAAAAAGAAAATCCAGGGAATACAGAAGAACTGCATACTTGCTATGCAAATAGAGTGAACACAACACAGGACTGGTAATCAGAAGATGATGAATTCTAACTGAAACTTTGCCACTTTAACCATGAGCATATTCCTTGGTTCCAAGGGTCTCAGCTTCCTTGTGTGTCAAACATGGGGCTCAATAAGACCACCTATCAGGGTCTCCTGTACTTAGAATCCTCTGTAATCATGTAACTTTGATCTTAGTCAAATTTTGAAGCCCAAACCCAAACGCTGACATTTTTAGAGAACAGCTTGTTTTTAAAACTGAAAAAAATTAGAATTTGTTGTTCTACAACTACACATTTGATTTATAACTTCTGTTGTTACACAACTGCACACTTATATTTTCATTCATATTTTATTTTACATATGCATTTTCATTAAAGTTATTCTTACTCAAATGAGAGTTCTGGCAGTATTTACTTTGTGCAGCACATATTAAAAAAAAACCAGCTAAATGTGTGCAAGCTAGGTTCTGATCATGTGCTTGGTAAGTATGGAGGCTGTATTTGCTTTTTCCATGTCACACATGTTTTAAAAAGACTTATTAAGGGTAATTCACAAATATAGTCCTTTGGGTTTTTTTAGTTGATATGAGGCTCAAAATCTAAATTTAGACCTGTATATTGTTATGGAATGAACTGTATTCCCCCCAAAATCAAATGTTGATGCCCTAACCCTCAATGTGATAAGCTTTGAGAGGTAATTCGGTTTAGAGGAGGTCACAAGAATGAGGCCTTCACGATAGTGTTAGTGCCTTTAAAAGAAATGACACCAGAGAGCTTGTTTCCATTCTCCCTCTTTGCCATCTGAGGATAAAAGGGAGACAGCAGCCATCTGTAAGCCAAGGACTGAGCCTTCATTGGGGAACCAATCTGCCGGCACCTTGACCTTGGACTTCCCGGCCTCCAAAACTGTGAAAAATAAATGTTGTTTAAGCCACTCAGTCTATGTGGTATTTTGTGACAGCAGTCTGAGCTAAAACATATGTTTAGTACCTAATCCAGTCTCATACCCATAGGGTATGCATACCAATTTGAACCCAGTAGTTTACTGAATTCATGATCTTGGTCAAATTAAAAAAAAAAAAAAAAAGCGAAGTGTGATGGCTTTAAAACATATCTGCAACACTTTGCCATAGGTAGGTAGGGGTCATTCCCCTCACCCTATTCCCCATCCCCAAATCTTCCCCCACTCCCCCATGCCTTGAATCAAGACCAACCTAAGTGACTGGCTGAACAGCAGCAGCTGACAGAGGTAACGCTACATAACTTCAGAGGGAAGGTCAAAAAAAGTGATACAGCTTCTACTGGTTCTCTTTGGGATGTTCACTCTTGAAATCCAGCTATCATGCTGTGAGGCAGCCCAAACAAGCCTCTGTGAAAAGACCACACAGAAGGGCCCACATGTAGGCATTCTAGGTGATAGCCCAGCTGAAGTTCCAGGTAACAAGCACATCAGCATGTGAGTGAACATGCCTCCAGCTCTGGAGTCTCCCCAGCTGAGGCCTCGATCATCATGGAGCAGAGACAAGCTGTCTCTGCTGTGCTCTGTCTAAACTCCAGGCTTACAGTCTGACGGCATAATAATATGATTGCTTTATGCCAGTAAGCTGGGGTAGTTTGTTAGGCAGATGTGGATCACAGATAAGTGGAACATGAAATCAGAATATAATTACGTATTGATGTAAATTCTTCATTATACTAGGAAAATAACTTAAAGCCAAATCTTGATCACGGATGAATAACATCATCTTCATAAATGTAGCCAATATAATTTCATAGCTGATCTCCTAACTGCTGGAATAAAGCAACAAGGAAGAAGCATAAGATAATAGGTGTGCTTTTCTTCCCACTAGCTTAGCTCTAGAGGAGTCAGAGTTCTAGGGTTCTCAGATGGTCTAGCCAAGGTGGCATCAGGCTAGACGTATTGTGTTCTGGAAATAATCCACCCCAGTCCCAAAAATATTTGGGAAGGGTAGAGGGATGGAAGGGTGGCATTATGCTTTATAATACAAAAGCAGAGAAGTCTACATCTTACTGTTGGCAGGGGGTATGTCTTTTGGGTAGGGTTCATGGGTAAAGCAGGTCTCAACAGAGCATATAAAATTAGGCAGACAGAAAAATGGGGAAGTAGGGCCATGTTACTGCAGATCCGAAAAGAGTGAAAAGAGCAAAACCAGTGAATACTGAAGGAATTTCATTATTGTATTTATGAATTAAGTTTTAAGTTCTTTTTTAAGACATTAAGTTTTAATTGTCTTCATCTGAATATGCACTACCTCTCTCTCAAAATAAAGTCCTTTGCTGATGCAATCTGCGTTTCAATAGCCTGAGGACATTCAAGGATATCTAATTCATAGCTCTCATTCTCCTTTAAATACCAGCTGCAGACCCTCACTGGGTACGGAAAGGTTATCAGGATAGTAACTTTCTTTTATATTGTCTACCTTTAGATGTGAGAAGCTACCAAAAGACCAAAGAATTTGGATGTGAGGAAGACATCTTCAAATTCACACGCATGTACATATTTTCATAATACCTGAGGGTAAAACAACTCCCTTGTTTGTTATCACAGAGAAGCTGTGTTCAAAAGGGGTCTCTTTCAGTCACAAGCCTGGGTTTCACTGCTCTGAATTCCTCCCCCCAGGGCCTGCAGGCAGACACCTTGTAGTAACTGAGGGCAGGAATAGTCAGTCCATAAAAGGCAGCAATAACCATGAGAAGTTACTGGGGAGTTACAAAGCTAATCCTCCCCGGACATGATGGGGGGAAAGGCTACCCAATACATCACATGCAAATTCAGATCCAACCTGGTTTTCCATACTTGAAATACATGATATAATGTGATTTATAACTTGCTTTTCCCTCTTCACCAAAAAAGTTGGTGCAAGAGAAGGACAGCATTGCTGGAATCCCCCAAAAGGAACTGAAATTATGTTAGTATCTTATAAATACATAAAATTTTATATGCTATAAAAAAATATATATATTCCTTCCTTACCTTTTCTGTTGATACGAACTGAGCCCAAGTGTTGTCTCAGTCTGTGAAAGGAAGAAAACAATGAAAATACTGAGGACAAACCTTTCTACTAGAGACGTACAGAACATCCAAAATATACTGCAGTTTCAACTTTGATCTTATACTCACTTAGATTTTCAGGTTAAACCCAATCCTTAAATCATAGGAAATGATGTGTCACATTATGTAATTCAAATGAGAGAATTTGGGATTAAATTTTAAACACACATGAATACAAAGTAATGTGGTTGATTTTTAAAAGTCTGCCAAACCAATACATCCTGTGAGAAGAGTCCTCTTTACAATCACCTGGTGAGGCTACTTGTGCCTCTCACCGCTCACTGCTTACCAACTGTGTGGCGGGTGCTGGTGCGTAACAGTTCCTGCCACCAGGGAACTCAAGGTTGTGGGGGCAGAGCAAGAGGGAGACAGCCTTTTAAAACTAAAGAAATACAGGGGCGCCTGGGTGGCTCAGTCGGTTAAGCATCTGCCTTCGTCTCAGGTCATGATCCCAGGGTCCTAGGCTTGAGCCCCGCATCGGCTCCCTGTTCCGCGGGGAGCCTGCTTCTCCCTCTCCCTCTCCCCCTGTGCTCGCTCTCTCTCTCAAATAAATAAAATCTTAAAAAAACACCTAAATAAATATGAAAGAACTATGAAAATGCTGGAAAGGTGCTGTGAAAGAGAATAAATAGGTGATGTGCTTCAATATGTCATGAGGGAAGGCCTGTCTGAAGAGATCACATCGACGCGGAATGTGATCAAGTGTAAAAAAGCTGTGTGTGGAAACAGGGCTGTGTGGTGGTGGAAAAAACAACATGCGCACAGGTCCAACTTCAGGAAAGAGCCTGGATATTCAAGAAACAGGTCTATTTGGATGGAGGTCAGAGGGATGGGGGAAGAAAAGTAGAAATGAGGTTGGAGTGCTGGGCGGGGGCTAGACTATATTATGTCCTGGTAAGAAGCCACGGGTAACAAGTTTGGAATGTGCTCTACTCTAAATGCAGTACAAGGGGTCTGAAGGAGTAAGAGCGACAGAGACAGACATGGTCTGATTTAACTTTAAAGACACTATTCTGGTGGCAGTGTAGAAAGGATGGATGAGAGGAGAACAAGACAGAAAGCAAGAAACTGGTTACAACTGAGGAAGATAAGTTCTTAATAATATGTGAGAAAATGCCAAAACTCTAAGGAATACCATCAGTGAACTTATCCCAAAAGGTTAGCTTCTATGTGGTAATTAGAAAAAGCAGTAGAGTTGTGGCATTATTTTTCCCATTAGTATATATTATTTTGCAATGGTATTTTGGAGACTGTATATGGAAGAAATATGGCAAATGTGGGAAAATAATCCTTATTGTTTGAAAGTGAAAGCTTGGGTGAAGGTGAAGTGTCAGGATGTCTGTAATTTTCTTTAAAATGTTTTAGCAATATGACTTGCATGTGTATGGAAGTATGTGTGTGTATAAAGCAAATATGACAAAATGTTAATCTATCTCAGTGGTAGATAAATGGGTATTTATTCTCAACTCTTCTTATTTTCTGTACTTAAAAATACGTTTAACTTTTCATTATGAGGAAATTTTTTAAAGTATTTATTTGAGAGAGAGAGCAAGAGAGAGAGAGAACGCACAAACAGGGGAGAGGGGCAGAGGGAGAGGGAGAAGCAGGCTCCCCGCTGAGCAGGGAGCCTGGACACAGGGCTCAATCCCAGGACCCTGAGATCATGACCTGAGCTGAAGGCAGATGCGTAACCGACTGAGCATCCCAGGAGCTCCCCAAATTTTTTATTATGGGAGAAAATCTTTGCAAATTATATATCTGATAAAGGGTTAATATACAAATATATAAAGAACCACTATAATTCAACCTTGCTATTGATAAACAGCAAATAAATAAACCTGATTAAAAAATGGGTGGGGGGCAGCCTGGGCAGCTTAGTCGGTTAAATGCCTCTTGGTTTCGGCTCAGGTCATGATCTCAGTGTCCTGAGATCAAGACCCGCGTTGTACACCACTCAGTGTGGTGTCTGCCAGAGATTCTCTCTCTCCCTCTCTCTCTGCCCTTCCCCTGCTTGCATGCTTGCTCTCTCTCTAAAATAAATAAATAAATCTTTAAAAAAGGGGGGGGTGAACACCTTGATAGGCATTTCTCCAAAGAAGATATTCAAATGGCCAATGGGCCCATGAAAAAGATGCTCAGTATCACTAATTATTAGGGAAATGCAAAGCAAAACTACAATGAGATACCACCTCACTCCCATCAGAATAGCTACAATCAAAAAACCAGAAAATAACAAGCGCTGGTAAGGTTGTGGAGAAATTGCTATTCTTGTGCACTGTTAATGGGAATGTAAAATGTGGTGCTGTGGTGGAAAATGGTATGGTGGTTCCTCAAAGAATTAAACATAGAATTACCACATGATCCAGCAATTCCACTTCTGGGCATATACCCAAAAGAACTGAAAGCAGGAAGCAGGGACTCAAATACGTGGACATCCATGTTCATAGCAGCATGGTCCATAGCAGTGTGGAAGTAATACAGGTGTCTACCAATGGATAAATGGACAAACAAAATGTGGTTTATATGTACAAAAGAGCATTATTCGGCCTTAAATAAAGGAAGAAAATTCTGACATATGCTACAACATGGATGAACCTCGGAAACAAAGTCTATACTAAGTGAAATAAACTGGTCACAAAAGGACAAATACTACATGATCCTATTTATACGAAGTACTTAGAATAGTCAAACTAATAGAGATAGGATGAAGAATGGTGGTTGTCAAGGGTTAAGGTGAAGGGAATGAGGAGTTGTTTAACGAGTACAGAGCAGTTTCAGTTTGGGATAATGGAAAAGTTCTGGAGCTGGATGGTAGTGATGCAAAAACAAATAGGAATGTATTCAGTGTCACTGAACTATATACAATTAAAATGGCTAAAACTGTAATTTTTATGCTAGATGTATTTTACTACAATTTTTAAAAAGCCATAGTAATGAAGACAGTGTGGTACTGGCATAAAGATAGACAAATAGATCAAGAGAACTGGAGAAAGTCCAAAAATGGATTTATACAGTCATCTGATTTTCAATAAAGGCATCAATGCAGTTCAATGGAGAACCTTGTATCTTTTCAGCAAATGGTGCTAGAACAACAGGACAAACTTATGTAAGGGAAAAATGAGCCTTTATCCTTATGTCACACCATGTACTCAAATTACTTTTATACATATAATAGTTTTAAGCATAAAAATTAAAATTATACAGCTTCAACAAGAAAACTTAGGAGATTATCTTCGCAATCTTGGAAACAGAGATTTCATGAATAGGACAAAAGCCACTAACTGTAAAAGAAAAGACTGACAGGACTTCATAAAAAATTTTAAAATATGCTCACCAAAAGACATTGTTATGAAAATGAAAAGGCAAACCATATACAGAGAGAAGACTATTTGCAAATAAAATATTTGATGAAAGACTTGCATACGGAACATATAACTTGTGACTATGAATTTAAAAACCACACCATTTTTAAAAATAAGCAATTATAAAAGTGTCAGCTAAGCATAAAAAAGATGCTCAGTGTGTTATTAAGGAAAAGCAAATTTAAACTATAATGATATATACACTCCTATTATAATGTCCAAAACTGAAAATACACCAAGAGTTGGAGAGAATGTGGAACAACTAGAACCTACATACATTGTTGGTGGGAACGTAAAATAGAACCACCACTCTAGAAAAAGCTTGGCAATTCTTTACAAAGTTAAACATACCCCTATCATATGATGATGCCACTCCACTCCTAGATACTTGCCCAAGAGAAACACAAGAAAAACACGTGCACATGAATGGTTATAGCAGCTTTATGTTTATAAATACTGGGACAACCCAATTTTCTGTTAAAGGTGAATGGATAAATGAACTGTGGTGTATCTACACAATAGAATACTACTCAGCAATAAAAAAAAATAAAGCCTGGGAACCTTTCTTTTTTCTTTTAACATTTATCATTTTACAATAATATTATTTTTAAAAAACCAGAAATAACATTTGAGCAGAAAAAAGAATAAACTGATGATACAATATAGATGAATCTCAAAATAATTACGCTGAGTCAGACATCCCCCCCTCCATCAAAGTACATTCTGTGTGAATGCATTTATATAAAATGGTTTACAATTTCAACTGATAGTGACAGCAGATCAGTGATTACAATTGCCTAGAAATGGAGAGTGAGGGTGGAGGGATTGATTACCAAGGGTCACAAGTAAACTTTTGGGCGTGATGGATATGTTATCTTGATTGCAGTGATGGTTTCACAAGTGTATAAATATTTAAACTCTTTAAACTGTACACTTTAAACACGTACAGTTTATTGTGTGTCACTCATACTTCAATAAAGAACGTAACCTAAGAATTCTAGAACATGCAAGACTGGTTCTCATGTGAAGTTGACAGAAAGGGAACTCAGAAAGTTTATCACCCATGTACACTTTCTTAGGGGGAAAAAATTCTTCATGAAGACAATCTGGCCAACAAGATTACTCATGAAGAATTGCAAATGAGGAAGCGGTCTTGTGAAAGATAGGCAGATGGTCACGGCAAACCGTGGAAATACGATCCGAAAAGCAGAAAGTAAATGTTGTTTTTAAAGTGTAAGCCACAAAATAGAAAAATCATTTAATCATAATAAACAAGAATAAAAATCTCAGCACATGCCAACAAAACACCCTAAGTATTGAAACAGAAAGATCACAATAGACACCATCTTGTTTTTGAAGTAATTTGAGAAATATAGGTTTAAACATATTTTAAATGTACATCTGAAAATTAAGCTCCTAAATCAAGAGAAAACAGAAGAGAAGATAAAAATTAGATGGAATAAGTATATATAGAGTATGATTACATGAGATAAACTCATCTATTTAAAAAAGACAAAGGACTGTGTTAGAAAACCAAAGCTCAGCTATAAACTGTAAATACCTAATACAAAATGATGCAGAAATGTTGACAAACAATGGGC